TAATACCAATTATCATGCTAATGATTTTGAAATTATAATTTCCAAAAACAACCTTGATGAAATTAAGAATCATTTGTAAGTTTAAAAATCTTTCGTTGATTCAGAAAGGACTTTTTAAAATCTTAAAATCTTTTCTTAGCTATTATATTAGAAAGAACAAAGAGTATGAAGAATTGAATATTTCCATAAATGAAGGTACCTGGCAGTTAGATTCTATATCAATTCCTTTAAAGATAGCTGCCAGAGAGATAGAAGGGTTAAAATTAGCAGTGTAAGTGAGGTCATATTACTATTTAATTTTAATTTGTGGGGTACAATTATGGGCCCTATGTGAATTTTTACACAATTTCTATGGATACTATTTGATTTAATTATTTAAAGAGCAGAAAAAATTAATGCTGGGTCTAAAAAAAGAATCAAGGAACAAAGTAAAGCTCCGCATGAGCCAGCTCGAGCCAAGCTCACCCTTTGCTTGAGCTTGGCTTGAAAAAATAATGATGGCTCGAGTCAAGCCAAGCTTATAAACAACCAGCTTGACTCGGGCTTCTTGGCTCGTGAGCCAGCTCGAGCCAGCTTGATTAATATGATCAACGGTTACTCAAAATAAATAAAATGTTAATATTAATAATTTAAATAATAAACATCAAATAAATATATCAAAAAAATATAACGATTATTTTGTTTTGATAAGAAATTAAATTCGCTATTTTATTCGTATCATTAGAGATGTTGCTATTAATAATATTAACAATACATTACGCTTTGTAAATTTATACTAGCCAAAAAAGGCAAGGACCATTATTAGGAATTTATTATATGTGACATATTAATATGGTTGGCTCGGTCTAAATTGGCGTGATGGCGCAGAAACAACGATAATAATAATGATATCATCCTTTGTTGTTATTATTGTCATTATTATCATTATTTAAATATGATTAGATCTAAAATTATAACAAGATCAAATATTAACAATGTTAGCAATGTATACCATTCTAGAACAGAAATCCCAGATAAACCAGCACCAGATTGGATACGATTTGTATGTGTTAGTGATACTCATAATATGGTCAACTCTAGGAATTTTACAGTACCTGAAGGCGATGTTTTACGTATGTGTATATTATTTTCTAATAATAATAATGATTGTTATATATAATACTGATAATTACGATTGGCTCATTAATTCGTGTGTGTGTAAAGTTCATTCAGGTGATTTGACCAAAGTAGGGACTGTGGATCAACTAGAACAAGCTGTCAATTGGTTGAAAGATCTTCCACATAGGTAAATATCCTTTTTTTTCCTAAATAGAAAAATTTCAAATAAATATTAACCTTAATTAAGAAAATCATTAGACATAAAATTGTCATTGCTGGTAATCATGATCTAATGTAAGCAACAATTTCTCCAATAATAATAAGAATAGATTATTTTTTTCCTAATCACTAACCAACCAACCAACCAACTTATTAATTAATTGCTTATTAATAAAAGATTGCATAAGGAATTTTATGAAACAAATTGGTCAGAATTCCATACTGTTAAAGATAATCACGATAAAGCAATTGGCATAATAAGCAAAGTAGGTAATGGATTTGTTTATTTACAAGAAAGTTCATATGTAATTCCTGAAATTGGATATAAAGTGTATGGAAGTCCATGGACTCCATGGTTTTATGATTGGGGATTTAATGGTGAGCGTGGTGAATTTTTAAAAGGTAAACACAATAATTAATATAAATATATATAAAATAGTAATGATAATGATAATAATTTATTAACAATTTGATTTAAGAAATATGGTCAAGAATACCAGAAACAACAGATATACTTATGACGCATGGACCACCATCCAATATACTTGATCTTGTCGATGGCACTGAAAATGTTGGGTGTGAAGATCTTTATCAACGAGTTGAAGAAGTAAAACCATTGGTTCATCTTTTCGGTCATATTCATGAATCTTATGGAGTTTTTCAAAAATTCTGGGATCCTTCTACTAGTAATGATAATGATAATAAAAATAATAATGGTCAAAATGATTATAAATATATTAATAATAAGAATTCAACTATTTTTATAAATGCTTCTATTTTAGATAAGCATTATAAAGTAAAAAACCACCCAATTGTTTTCGATTTACCACCATTAAATAGTCATTAAATCAAAATTTTAATATAATAATAATATTATAATTTACATGAAGGATGTTATTCAATTTCAGATAAATATTATACATTCTAAAAAATTTGAAGGACACTATTATTATTATATATTAATATTAAGTCTATTTCCTTTAAAGGATCAACAATAATTTGTGATTGCACAATTTGAAAAGTTAATGACATTAATTGCACTCGCGAGATTCATGAATTTCATGAATGCAATCACTAGTCGTTATCGACCAAGAATGCTTTGATTTTTAAAAAAATGACAATTGGAGCTTATCAAGTATTATTGAATGTCATCAGATGAAAAATGATAATGATGGGAACCTTCTTTACATACTAGATATTAAAGAACTTTAAATCATTTTCCCACTCATGGTTATCGGAAAAAAGAGCATTCCCAGAACGTTTTGAAGCAAGTCATTCATTACCTATTCTTGAAAAATTTTGGTAAAGGGCCTAGGAGTGCAATTGTCTTATTAAAACATACACTGCCTGGAAGAAAGTATCTGAACCTTGTTTTTTATTAATTCCACAAACTTTTACATAATAAAAAAAAATTTGAAAATATCATCATGTAGTTTAGGTTCTAACGAATGTGTATGCAATAATTTTTTAACCAAAAAAAAACGAACTTCAATTAATATAAAAAATGATCAAAAATTTTCTAAAAACCAAAATTTTATTAAAACATCACCTAATAAAAAATTTAATCCATCCATTATTAGATACGCATGCCTCAATTCTCCTTGGCATGCTTTCAATCAGTTTATTATAAACTTCTTCAGGAATATTAGACCACTCCTCTTGCAAAGCAATCTCTAATTCTCAAGAATCCTTGGGATGGTTTTCAGCATTTTCATAATGTTTAATGGTATCATAAACTGTAGTTTTGGAAGCTTAAGTATCTTTACAAATTTATTAAGATTACTACCACCTAATCTGAGACCCAAAATTTTTCCACGCTTAGCTTCAGTTAATTCGGAATTTTTTGGCATTTTTAAAAATTTTTTTTTGATTTAATCGATTTTATTATCGTCAGATTATTTTTAATAACAATTTTCTACCAATAACAGGAGAATAATTTTTCCATAATTATATCTTAGAACTTAGGCTACAAAATGGTTTTTTTGGTTTTTTTCTCGTTATGTAAAATTTTGAGAAAATACAAAATTCGAGGATGAAAATCACAAATTTAATTGAAGTTCGTATTTTTTTGGTTAAAAAATTAGTATAAATATCAGAATTGTGAATATTGCGCACATTCGTTAGAACCTAAGCTACATGATGATATTTTCAAAAAAAATTTTTATAAAGTAAAAGTTTGCGGAATTAACAAAAAGCAAGGTTCGGATACTTTCTTCCAGGCAGTGTATTAATAACAATTCTGGTGATAGTAAAATTTCATATTTGTTGAATAATAAAATAATAATGTTATGTTCGTTTTAATTCTGGAGAAAAAGGTTTATTGAAAAAAGTCAATTTCATTTTTTGTGTTTTTTGACGTTATGTATATTAATATGGGATTGCGGCCATTTTCTCGACACCGATTTCCCGACAGGACGTTTTCTATCAGTATTTTTTTGTTTTCTTGTCATGACCATATACCATGTCACTATCATTATCCGTTAATATTAAGAAATGACATATATCTTGTGACGATGTTGGCAGACTAGCCGGCTAATTTGTTTAAGTCTGTTAAGCCATTTATTAGCCGAGTAGTCAGCTTAGTTAGTGAAACGAGTTGTCGGGAGACCCCATAGATTTATGGTCAAAAGTATATGATATTGTTAAGCTATTTGGAATAACAAAGGAGAGCATTAATGGGAGAGATGACTGAAAAATGACACACTCGGTATGCTAGTGTTTATTATTAATATAACTTTGAAGGCATTTATCACTAACATCAGCTTGTATATTTAGAACTGAAATTATGTGGGGATGCTTCATTTGCTAAAATATCAACAGGGAATAAGAGGAAGAAATGGTAAATGCTGAACCGGGTCAAACGGATCTTTTGAATTGTCAACCCTGATGGAAAATGTCTATGTTGTAGATGCTTTTGTAGAAAAAGGAGCAGTGTCCCTATTCATATTCGAATATTCACATTAATTAACACATAATAATAATATTCGAGATATTTTTCAAATAAAAGAAAAAATTTGAATTTCCCACTAGAATCCATCACTAATGATAGATCATGTAATCCAATAAATAAAAAAGCCCACACATGAAAATATAATTTTTGTGAAATAATAAATCCAATAATTGTAAAACCTAAATATTCAAGTATTATGGATAATCATAGTTTAAAGCATTTAATTCTGATCATATCATATTTAAACAAAAGGGAATTATACAGGTATATCACAACTAGGATTGGCCACGCAACCCAAATGAGCATTTGGTTAATCTGACTAATTATTTAGCCATATGTTAGTCAAGACAATTATTACTAAATTAAAATTTTAACCTCTTCACGTTGCCAACACTCATTTTTTCATTGTGCAATTTTCTCGATGATTTGATTGGATGGCTATATTTGATCTGCATTATATGTTAAACAACCAATGGGGCATTACCGTTATATTGTTATATATAAAAGGCCGTTAATGACAGTCCAACTTCTAACAGCAACAACAGCAGCAACAAACAACAACAAAAAAACAACAAAACCAGCAATAGTAATACCAATTATTAGTTTATTAATTAATTGTAAGGGTAAATTTTATGGTTACATTTTTATTTTAAAGTTAAGAGTGTGTAATTTTTATAATAAAAAAAAACCTCTATTTTTGTAATTTTCTCAATTTTCAAACAGCTTTACGAAAATGGCACTTTCATTAAACAAGTATCGTCTTCTCCCACCAAAAAATTTACCTCCCTTACACAAAACATTCGATCTAGGTAAGTAACTGCTGTTCTCTTACTGAATATAAAGTGATTGTTGTAAATCTTGTATGTGGTAGCAGGCAATGCTCATAATATTTCAATTCTTTCTATTTAACCAGGACACCCGGATTTTTATCCAACTTTATTGGATAAACCCGAAGATCAAATGACAGAAGAAAATGTAAAGAAAGGATACGCCTACACTCCGATTTTTGAAGATGAGACTGGATCATTCAAAAAAGAATTCAAAAATGTTAAATCAAAGTATACATCCTGGAAAGAAGATCTCAGTAATCTCGGTGAAATGATGTCAGACATAATAAAATTAAATAAAAATCAAACAAACAAATATGAAGTGTTAGTATGTTAGATTGGCTTCAGAATATTCATTGTATTTATAATTCACTAATTATAATGATTTAATGATTTAGGGAAAATACATTCAAACCTTTAAAAACTGAATGGATGCCTCATGACAATAAAGAAAAATGGTTAAGAGATCTTGCCAATAATGTACCTTTGAAAAAATTAAGTAAAATTATTCCCAACACGTATGTGAATATTTATTATTTATTAGATTGTTTATAATATCAATATTTAAGAAAACATTTGCAAATAAATTTCTTAGCATGGATGGTATGAATTTATTGGAAGATATTGTCAAGTATAAGGTACCATTAGCTCGTGCAACATGGCTTACAAAAATCGTTTTGATAAACTCATTTCCGGTACTGATTTTTAAAGCAATCAAATTGATTATGAGTTATTTTTTGATAATATAATATAATGTAATATTAATTGAATATTGTAATACTCTTAAGAAGGCTCATAAATCAGACCATCCAGTAGATTACACTAAAGTTTTTAATGACTTTCTTCTTGTACAAGCTAATGATTATGATTCTGAAAGATGGAGATATTGGTAATGTTTAAATATTTTATTAGAAATTTTCTAATAAATATCATCACAATAATTATAATAGTTATAGTCACAATAATGATGATGATGATGATGATAATGATGATAATGATAACAATAATGATAATTATAATGATTATTTATTATTTAATTATTTAATTATTTAATTATTTAGTATTTCACTTGCAAAATGGCAATATAATGATGGTTTAATAAGTCAAATTTTTTTTAGATGGATATTGGATGCTTTTGATGCACCAGAGTTTTCACAAACTTCAATGTGGCTACTACTTATACAACAATTCATGGATGAATACCAAAAATCTCGAACTCTTATGAGATTATTGATAGAGCTTTTACTAAAAAAATTAAATTATGTAAAATATTTTTTTCGTGTTTGTGAAGATTAACAATTTTAGCTTAATTTAATTTAATTAATATATATGTGTATGTGTATATATATAAATCTATATATTAAATATTCCAGATACATCAACATTCAAATCTTGTTACAAAATTTGAAGGTGTAATACATTCTTTAAAATCAATGCTACAGGTAAGATATATTATTTATTTATTTTTAAAAAAAAAAAAAGATCTTCTGTTATTTATTATATTAATCCATTTTTTTTATTCCACAGCAAATTTTCCTTTCAATACCTGATATGTTTGTATTCCCATCTTGTTGGAATACATACAAAGATCTTCTGATCAATATTCTTTTAGAGGATGCTAAATCAGGCACATGTAATCCTGTTTTTGCTAAAAAATTAAGATGTCAAATAGAAAAATTCATTGAAGTAGTGCGTGCTAGAAATGAGGTTTTGAATGAGAAAAAAGGTAATACATTTGAAAGAAAAAACCTAAAAGAAATAAAATTGTCTCGGATAATAAATGTAAGTGCTACTACTACTATTATTATTGGGAGGAATATGGTAAGAAAAGGATAAAACAACTTTATTTTAACATTAATGGTTAATTAAAATTATTAGATTCTTGATAAAATTGGACCTAAAACTGATTATGATGTCGTTACATCAGAATATTTTTGTATTAAAAATAAATTTCCTTTATTGGAAGAAGAAATCACTACATCCATTTGTTCATTATGCTTTTGGGCAGTAACTAATCTTCGGTCAGGAGATTATAGAATATATTCTGTTTGTCGAATACTTGATATTTGGAAGAAAATTGCTTACAATGACAATGAAAAGATTGAAAAACAAACTTGTATTCAAAATTCATTAATGAAGTTTTTGAATGAATATCAGATTGGAAAAAATGGATTAGATGAACTTGATGGTATCTGCATATATATATAAACTTTTAAATTTTATTTTATATATTTATATTTTAATAAGAAATACTAATATCAATATATATCTTAAAGAATATGAAGTCATCTCACGTCTTTTCGGAGAACTTATTCGATATGAACTTTTCTCACACCATAAATATATGTTACGTTTAATAGCAAATGGTTACATACATTCAGATAGTGTAGATTATAAGGTTTGTATTTATATTTTAATATAAAAATTTGATATAAAATATGTATGTGTGTAGATATATATATAAATTATAATGACATTTTTAATTTATACAGAACATAACCCACTTAAAATATTTGACATGGTTTCCATTACTTAATGATGATTATAATCAATTAAATCAACGTCGAATTATTTTATATGGTGTACGTGGAGAAGTAAGTAATATTTTGTTTCATATTTACAATTTTTCCTTAAAATATTTATTCATTAATATTTAATTAAAGGATATTCAAGATAAAAAAGATTTTGAAATGCTTGCATCAAAAATCAAAGAAAAATTGTCAACAATGTTTTCTGAAAAAGGTTTTAATTCTTTTATTTTATTATTTGTAAAAATTTTTTGTATATAAATACATTTATATGGATTTTATTATTATTATTTAGCTAAAGAGTTGGATACTCCAGGTATTGATGATCCATTTAAAGATTATTTCGACTTTTCACTTAATTTTGATGATGAGACGATTAATCTTTTCAAGAGTGTAACCAAGTTTACACAGGTCCGTCTGACACGTTTTTGGCTTTGGCCTGCAATTAAGCAATTTGTACAAAATGCACCGTAAGTTTATTTAAAAAAAAAAACTTTGCATATATATTTGCTTCTGGATATATTTTCTAATACTATTTATTAGGATTGATATGCATAATTGGAAAACTTCAACACAGCCTGGCTCTTCACTATTAAATGCTCGTCAATTTGCTACAATTATTCAAGTTTTTGATTTGACAAAAGATTATTATACTTTATTTGAGGTATTGCATAATCATTTCATACCATTATTATAATGATGTTATAGTTCCTTGCAATTAACATTTCAAAAATTACTATGGTATTATATATAGGTAATATTATGGGTTTTGAACAATACTTTAGAGAAAAATATATTTCCACTGATTATAAACACAATAAAAAATTATGAATTGGTATGGAGGGCAATGGGAAAATATAATCAAATTCTTGATGCAGTTTTGGAAAAGGTATTTTTCTAGTTTTAATTAAATAATATATAATAATATTATATGTATATATTAATTATTCAACTTTTTATTTATTTATTTACTTATTTATTTATTTATTTATTTACTTATTTATTTATTTATTTATTTATTTATTTAGAATGAACAAATGAAAGAAAAAAGAGCAATGGAATTATGTATAATAAAATTTCTATTAAGTGTTGTACATGAACTTGGAGTTGAAAAAAAAGCAAAAGTAAATATTAAATTTATTACTTTGTCTGACATCTATTAATATTTATTACTAAATATTACAACCATAATTTATCAGTTGGAACAAGATCTTCAGTTGGCAATAAAAGTAAATAAAATTTGAAATCTTTATTACTATTATATTATTTAATGCTAACATATATATTAAATTTTTTTGATTAGCCCCAACTATCAATTGCAATATCAAAACAAAGATCACGCTTAAGTTCAGAAATTGAACAATTGATGTACCCTATACCTCCCAATGTTCAAAACGATTCACGGATATTCCCATCAGATGATGAATATTTGGTTACAATGCTTTATTTATGCACCGACTTCATCGATAAATACTCACAAGATTATGATCATGTAGAGTTAAGAAGAATACTGGAAATATTTGGGGATTTATTGAGAGAGATAGGAGATAGAACTATAAGTGGTTTTGATGATGCCTTTAAAAAATGGACAGATGTGCATTGTAGTGATGATGATAATCTTTTAAAGCAAGATAAAGGCACATGGTTTTTAATATTTTTTGTGGTATTGGTTAGTCGAAATCTGGTGAAAATTGAGACGATCATCACATATCTTTGCAATACTAATCTTGCACGGCTTGTGAACAAATTATTCTCTAGCAAACCATTAGATTCAAGGGAATTGATCAACTGTAAGAATTTAATTATTCTTACAAGATTGTTACTTTTGATAAAAGATCAAAATAATAAGTCGCCAGAAATGCAATTATTTACACATGCAAGTATACTGATTTATATTATAAAATATTCTACACAGAAATTCAACCTAATCATTAATTTATTTATTTATTTATTTATTTATTTATTAGGAGCTTCAAATGCTTCGATTAAATTGTTCAAATTTAATTCAAAATCAAGAAAATCTTAAGGAAATTTATTCCATGTTTCATAGATTTGCAATAATCGAATATTCACTAGATCCGGAGAATGATTGCAGTATTAAAGATCAACTTCGATGTTTAAGAAGAGATTTTTCCAAGGTTTTCTGGTTCAAACATTTATGTACAGTTAATCCAGAAAGTGTATATGAACGATTTGTAATGGGATCCAAGAAAATCAAAAGTGCCAAGGAACTTGGAAAACGTTTAATAGAGGTTCTTAAGATGGCACTACAAGATGAAACTAACACAATAAGTAATATTTATTTATATAGTTACATATACATATTTATACAAGTAAAGATTTAGTGAATAATTTTAATTGAAAAAAAAATAATACATTTTTGTTACAATAGGTGATCCTTTTGAATACGTACAAAAAATATTTTCAAAAGCCAATCTTTGGAATCTAAGCAAGACACGAGTAGAATTTTTGTTATATGTAAACCATATTCAATTAATGGAAGCATCAACTTGTCGATTGCCTCCTATATTTAATGAATCTGATACAGAGCCTAGTATATTTCTTAATGATAGTGGTGGTAATATCAATAGTTATGGTGATAAAACAGCTGATCAAAATAACGAAATGGCTTTGAAAATTTTGAAAGGCCATATAGTGAAGTATTTTTGGGAAGAGATAGTTTTAAAATCCAAATTAGATTGTAATGATTGTAATTCATTAAGTTTTATTGTTAAAGGAATTCGAAATAATATTGCAAGTGAAGTAGGCTATTTTTCCTTTATTGGTTTTTTTTTTTTTTGATATTGAACGAGATTTAACAGTAAATGTTTATTCGATTATTCAATTATTCAATGATCCGTTTAGTTAATGGAGTATGGAAACATTATATTGAAAAAGTGTAAACAGCTAGTTCCTGATATCGAAGAATTATTTAGATCATTATTGCTTTCGATTGATGATGATGAAAAAATGAAATTTTGTGATTCTTTGCTCACACAAGTGACAGCAATTAAAAATGAAAAAAACGATGAAGATTTTTTAGCCTGGTAAGAAGTTTTATCATTTAAATATATATATCATATTTTTAAATAATAAGTTATTCGTTTATATTGATTAGAATATTATTATTATTTGAAAAAAGTTTGATGCCACGTATAAAATTATTTGTTTTAGTTATACACATCTTAACAGCTCGTGTAGCGGCAACATCGACTCAGGAGGCTTGTCAAAAAATGAAAGAATACAAATTAATAGAAAAATGGACTATATTACTATTAAGCTTGTTATGTGACGATAGAGTACATCGTAATGGTGGCGGCGCAAAGAATTTTGAATCAATATTGGATGTTGTTTCATTTTTGTTAGACGGTGAGTTATAATATAATTAGATATAATTATCAAAAAAACTAATCATCGTCATCATTATTATATATTTATTTTTAGAAATGGGTAAAAATGCAAGGTTATTGATTGTTGCTGAATTAAGGGCAAGTTTTATTGTTTTTATTATTTTTATTTTTATTATTATTATTATTATTATTTAGCCTTTATCATAAAAAAATCAATTGAATTTGTTAATTAATGTTGCAAAAATTTTTTTAAATATAATAGAGAACACATATACACACATTTCAAATACCAATAACATGGGGTGATAGGATAAAACGAGTATTACCATTGCCTGCGACTCAAAAAACCGTGGGTAGTGGTAAAAGAAAATTTACAATAAGTGATTGTCGGAATTTATACGAAAGAGTTGATGACGAT